CCCACTGTCTGAGAGAGCACGGGCCAGCGGAGGCAGCCTGTTCAGACAGGAAGCTCAGGCCAGCTAAACAAAGGGGCTGCCGGAGGTGGTGGGGAGCTCGCCACCCAGGCCTCTAATGAATCTCCTTCCATTGATTTCTGGAGTCGCCTTTGAAGGCAAGGGACGGCCAAGGCAGCTCGAATGTCCGTGCCTCAGCAGTCCTGGGGTTTTATTGCCTCTCCCAGGACACAGCTTTGACAGGGGGCTTCCGGAAGGCCCCCGGGTTGGACTGACATAAGCTCCCTGCAGTTGCAAAGGCAATTTCCCTTCCTGCTGGAGCTGTCTGTCTGTCTGCCTGTGCAGCATACCTCCCTGTCTGGGCCCGGGGCAGCTGAATTCTACTTCCGACACACCCCAGACAAAGGCTCGAGCAGGCCCCGGGAGGATGCCCTCCGTTTTTCTCTGAGCAGAAATGAGGCTCAGACAGAGAAAGAGTTAAGGCAACGCACACATTCTGGCCCAAGGCTGGGGGGCGGGGGGGGGGGCCGGGGGGGCCCAATGCCGGCGGCCCCCCCCACATTTTTCCCCCCATCTCCACCCCCCCCCCCCCCCCCCCCCCGCCACTCCAGCCTGCATGGCCTGTTACCACCGACCCTTTTCCCTACAGAGTCTCTTCTTGACCACTGGGGATCATGAACTCATGCTGCATTGGAGTGAAGAGCCCCCTAGCCTCACTTCAAATGAGGAAACCGAAGCTCAGAGAGGGGCCTGGCCTTCCTCCAATCACACAGCAAGTCGGTGGGAGAGCCAGGACCAGCCTACGACTTCTGGCTTGTTCCAGAGCCCCAAGCCGTGTCTCCCAATGCTGTGTTCCCACCAAGTGTAGCGTTAAGAACTTGTTCTCCAAACGTGGAGTGCTACACGGATACGAGGGCCTGCTGTTCTAAAGGGCTCTTGTCCATCAGCTGCCTCTTTTTATGAGCCGACGGGATTCGGATATGGAGGGTCCGCCCCACTCTGTCCTCCCTCTCCCCACAGAGAGGCTGGAGGCCAGACTCTGGACCTCTCGGCTCCTTTTCTCATCCACAGTGGGTCACACACATCAGGAAGGTGGGTGGAGGCATTCAATTTGGGCTCAAACGATGGACAGTCGGGGCTGCCCGGGGGGGTTGGTGACCACCCTGTCACCTGAGGTGTGTGAGCTAAGGATGCGGAAATGCAGAGGGGAGCTCAGACTGGTAGGCTATGACTTCTGTGGCCTTTTCTGCCTTGGGGTGCTCTCATAGGTAAGAGGAGAGAAGCATGCCCAAGCACCTCAGTGTGTTTGGGGCAGCAACAGAGCAGCCCTATGAACCTTCCAGGCCCATTAGAGTTCACCGGGGAACCCTTCATCTCCTGGTGGGCTCCTTCCCTCCTCCTGACAGTCCTGAGTGAGAGGACCCTCTCAGCGGCGCCTACCCCCTTCTAGCCCCTTGCTGCCAGCCCGCAGCAGCCCAGGGAATCTGGCGGCTTTCTTCGCTCCCCAGTGTGGTCCCAGGTGTCCCCCTGCTCTGGCGGCCGGGGTGGGGGAGCAGTTGGACGTGAGCAGACAGGCCACATAGGAATGTCTGTCTGAGGAAAATCCAAAGTGGCCGCCAAGGCAGGGCAATGAGTGGGAGGCCTGATGTCGAAATCGGGATCTGTAGAGCTGAGCTTGGCAGGTGAGAACAGCACACCCCTCCACCGGAGGCCAAGTCCCCAACCGAAAGATGCTGCCTGGGAAAGAGGCTGGGGCATTGCTGTGTGACCAAGAGCAGGTCACGACCGTTTCCCCATCGAGTGTGGACATCTAGTGCAGATTAGGGGCACCGGTCTCCCTAAATCTGAACGGAAGGCCCCTAAAAGAACTGTCACAATTGAGCTGACCCCCACGGACCACCTATAAAGGACAAGATGGCTACGGCACACATAATCCTCTCGCGGCAAGCCAGTCCCAAGGTGGTGAGCCCACTAAGTCCATTCTTATAAATGTATGTGCCCAAAAAGGATACCTGTAAACGTATCCTTTTTGGTAGACTTTGAGCTCCACGAGGGCAGGGATTTTGTCTATTTTGGTCACTGCTGTATCCCTGGTGGCTCTGTACCTGGCACATAGTAGGTGTTCAACAAGTATCTGTTGAATGACAGCTATTCACCAAGGTGTTACCCTATGTTGGCGGGATTTCGGCTATACTTTTGTTATAATTTCCCGTGTGCCTTAAGTATTTATAAAGGGTGTGTATTCTTTTTGGGACTGGGAAAAGAACCCCATAAACCACTTTCTTTTTAGAATTAAATGAATCAATCTAAAGTTAAGACTTTTCACCCCAAAAGCTGCTGTGCACAGTCTTGAGAACCAATAACTCCAGAATCAAGGGTAACACAACTTCACGTCACCAGTGGAGCTTCCGAGGCCCGGCTGTGGGTGGCCAGGGGCTGGCCGTGGGCAAAAGGCATTGCCAGAGAGTCACCATCTGTCCCTTTCTCTCTACACATGGCACCATGCCACCCCAGCAGTCTCTTTTCTGGACACCCAGAATAGCATCCACATTGCTTTCTCTGCCTCTGGCCCCTTGGTTCCTCCTCTACCTGCTAAGGTATAATAAAAGGCAAATCTGACCACGTCGCTACCTTACCTAAAACCTTCCCTGGCTCTCCAGCGTTGCCAGGATCAGGTTCAAGTTAGAGCTTCCTAGACTGATATTCAAAGCCCTGGAAGTCTCATGCACGGTCTCTGGGAAGGCCCTTTTGTTACCCTCAACCTGGGCTGCTCTTGTCGAGATGCCTACAGCAAGTCTCTTGCAGGCATTTATAAACCCTGGCTTGCCCAGCTTTACTGGAGGTAGGTAGGCTCACTGCAAAAACCCACATGCCAAACAAAGTGTTGCGCAATGACTGGGTGCCAGCCTGTAGCTGGGTGGGGAAAACTGCCACAAATCCGGGAGTGACAGAGAAGCTGAACCCTACCCTCCCTCCAATCTGGGAGCCGGTCCAGGGGGACGAGGAGCCTGGATCCCTGATGAATCTGAAAGGCGGGGAAAGCCACGGGCCAGCAGCCTGAGTTGGGGTGCTCAAGGCGGGAAGAGAAGTCAGCGCAGGGATCTCAGCCTTGGGGGTGCTACGGTTTGAGGCCAAACAGCACTGCCTCTCCCCTGACTCAGTTTCCCCATTTGGGATGTAGGCAGTATTCTGGGATACATGGCAGGAAGGTACAGTCCTGGGAACCAAGCCAGTGTTTCCACTGCTCCCCCTCAGCAAGGGGAGCCCACGCCTCCCTCGGGCCCCAGACAGACCTGGGAGTGTGGTGTGTAATTGAATTTGGCCTAATTACCTAATTGCGCTGAGGAACAACCAGTACTGACAGAGGCCTCGGGTGTCGGGGGGTAGTTGGAAACCAGGAGCCAAGTGGCAGCCTCCGGATTCCTTAGGCATTCAGGGAAGCCGTGTTAGACACCAGCACCTTCATTTTCCTTAATCTCTCTGTTGCTCGGAACCCTGGGAGGCAGGTGGCATTGTTCCCATTCGACAGGTGAGAAACTGAGGCTCAGAAGCATCTTGTGCAGGGAACACCAAATCCGAAAAAGTAGAGAGGGGATGTGAACCCACATTCCTTTGGAACCCGGGGCCTTCACAAATGCTGTTCCCTCTGTCTGAAACGCCCTTCTCTGCGCTCCTCTCTGGGAAGATCTTCGAAGTCCTTATCGCTAGGGTCATTTCCTCAAGAAAGCCTCTAAGCTGTTCTCTGTAGAACTGATCACAGTGACATCATCACTGGGGGGTGTTTATTCCAAGTCTGTCCTCTCTACCAAGCCTTGAGTTCCCAGAGGGCAGGGACCACATCCGCCTCACTCGCACGGTGTCCAGGCATCCAGCACAGGGCCTGGGATGCTGCGGTGCTCAATAAATATTTGCTGAATGAATGGCTGAAAAATCTCTAAATTCCAGGTCTTTTCCAGACATAGTGTGTCGGTTTCCTGCCATCACTGGCCTGGGTCTTTGGAATGGTGGGGGGTGGCGGGGGGGGGGGGCGGGTCTCACCTGTAAAAAGTATTGCACCTGGGGCTGTGCCAGGTGTCCCTGAGTCACAGGGGAGCTTCACTGATTCCTACCCTCCGGGTAGGAAGGACAGGACACTTGGTGAGGCCTTGTAGTGAAGGGACAGGCCTAGGGCCACCCAGCTTGCAAACAGAGCCAGAACTGGAAGCCAGGCCTGCTCGAGTGTGGGACCTGGCCTCAACGCCCCTCACCGTGGTCCTCAAATGACAGAGGGAATGAACAAGGCTAATCTACAGAGGACAAGTGCTCAGATCCAAAGGAAAGCAGTTGGATTTCAGGTTTCGTGAAACAAGGCAAGAGACAGGTTATTAGACTTTTCCACAAAGGCATCTCCCACTGGGCTCATTTGCAAGGCAGCCCTGCTCCAGAGACGCACCAGGCCTCCATTCATCCGGGACCCTGCACTTGTCAAGCATCCTTCCTCCTCCTTCTGGAAGGCATCTGCCCCGGAACCCAAGGGTGCAGGTCTGGAGTGGGACTGCCTGAGTCCAAATTCTAGCCCCATCACTTGCTGGCTACATGGCCCTGAGCAAGTCATTAGCAACTCTGAGTCTCCGTTTCCTCCCGATATTTTTGTGGAGGCGAGAGAATGCGTGTGCAGTGTTTTGTTCCGTGTCTGGAACATGTAAAGACTCAGTACAAGTGAAGAAAATGATAGCATTAGAGGTTTGGCATGGGATTATCGATAATGGTAGTATTAGCAGTGATCGGAGCTGTTGTGGGAGTAATAGTAACGAAACACAGATACTTAACTATTTACACCTATTCCTTATTATTGCATACCTCGTGTTCTCCAAAAGGGCACTGTCTGCCTGCTTCTCCTTTCCTGTCCAACTTACAGTGTCCTCCTCCCTGACCCAGCTTTCCTCCTCTCATGGCTGAGTTTTGGGTGGGAAGGGTGCTATCCTATCCACCCACCTGTTTCGTCTGTTACTGGGAGATGGCAAACGGATACAGGGTTTTCACTACACGCAGGCAAAGCTTCCCCCGCATCGTCCCCTCTAATCCTCAACACCTCAACACAAACGACTCTAGCAGGGAGGTATATGGTTAGCTCCGTGTCCTGACGCCACAGCTGAGGCTCAGAGAGGTCATGCCAGTTACCTAAAGTGACCCAGCTTGAAAGCAAGGAGAGTAGGACGTAAGCCCAGGGTGGCCTACCTCCATGTTGGATACTTAACCACATGGGTGATTTCTATGCCTCACGGTGGCCCGTCTTCTCACCCCCAGCCCCACTCAGGAGCTCCTCAGAAGCACCCTTCCCTGCTGACATGGCCTAAGCCCTCTTTCTGTACTCAGGGAAGGTGATCCAGTCCCACAAACTCTGCAGACTGACCCTTTCCCCTCCCACGAGTCGTGGGTCCATCTGTCCCAGTCCTGGTCCCCAACGACTTAAGTCCCATGTCTCCACTGGCCACCCGAGAGCCAGCCGTCAGTCACAGACAGACTGGCCAGCACTGCATCTTCAATAAGGGGTGGCTCCATGTTAACAACCTCAGGAGATTTCTCACAGGACTGGAGAAGGCTGCGGTTCTGGGCTTGTGTCTCACACGGCCTCAGGCGGCCCCCCCCATGCAGCAGCTGCCCCACTGGGGGCGCTGGGTTCTCTGGTCCCCAGACCCACTCTGTATCGTGCATCTGGATGCCAATGCTTTTTGTACGACTCCTGGCTGTGTGGACATGTGAGTGTGATATGGAGCCGAGGCAGCCTTTTCCGCACAAGGAGGAGGCCTAGGACCAGACCCTGAAGCCCAGCCTTGGCCAAACAAAGGGCACAAGTGCCTCAGGGGAAACAGACCCGATCTGTGGGGTCACCTGCCCACTCCCTGAGCTTTACAGGGGCCAGTACCTTTCTCCTCCTCTTTCTTTTTCTTATGAGGGAGGAGAAGAACCAGACAAGGGAGGCCTGTCCCCAGGGGCTGGGCATGAGAGGATCTTCCCCTGGAGACTGACAAGGGGCCAAGGGGCTGGTGCTTCCACAGCGGCTGGGCTGGCGGCCAACCGCAGGGGCATCTGGCCGCACTTCCCAGCCGCTCGGCTTCCCCATGGACCCCCAACAGCAGGCCAGTTCCCATCTGTCCCCGGGGTGGGGGGACGGGTTCCATTTTCTCCCTTCCAAGCCCTTTCGCATGCATACACGCAGCCCCTTGCCTCCTTGCCTCCCGGCCTCCCAGCAGACGCTTAATTGGGAGGAAGTGAGTCTAAACATCTGGGGCACACATCTGAGAGTGGGGAGCCTGGAGGAAATGGGAATACAGGCAATTATGTCACTTCCTTGGCGGAGGGTACGTAGGAGGGGGGGCAACCCTACACAGCAGCGGACGTGTCTGGGGGCGCAGCATGGGGCTGGGCTGGGGCAGGAGCTGGGGGGTGCACCTGTGGATGGTGAGCCTGGGGCCTACAAGCAAACGTTGCTGGTGACTCCTGGGCAGGGCTGAGCTGCAGCCCTCCGGCCCAGTGGCGCTTGGAGCTGCGGTCCCAAGGGGAAAGGGGAGACAAAGGAAATGAAGGAGAGAGGGAGAGGGAGGGACAGGGAGGAAAGGAGAGGGGAGAAAGACAGGGAGAGTGGGAGAAAGGAGGGAGGGAGGGAAGAGGAAGGGAGGTGGGGGAGACAAAGGGAGAGGGAGAGAGGGGAAGAGGGGGAGAAAGGACAGAGGCAGAGGACTGTTTTGCTCAGCTTAGAGGGAGGCCGCAGGCATCCGGGAAACGGAGCCTCCCCAAAGGGTGCTCCGAGGAGGCAGGGAGCCCCAGTTGTGATCTCTTCCCAGCCACTGCCCGTCTGTGTGACCCTGGGCATGAATTTCACAGTCTGGGCCTCAGGTTCCCCAACTGGAAAAGAGGACAGAATACCTCCTCATAGGCTGTTTTAAGAGTCAAGGTGCTCACCTACGTGAAGCGATGGCAGAGCACAGTCTATCTCTGAACCGTCCGATCCCATCTGGGTTGGGAGCTGCCTGCCTGCCTGCCTGCCGGAAGTGGCTGGCCCCAGTGGGTTCCACATCACCCCATCTCAGCTTCACCCTCTGCTGAGGCGGGTCTATTGACCTTGTCTTTTTCCTGAGCATGGAGGGTCTGTAAACTCCTCGAGGGTACAATTTCCAGGGTTACTCAAGTGCTAATCACACAGTCTGCATATAATAGGGGCCCCTGCCCTTTGTTGAAGGGGTGAATTTCGTTTTATCCTTTGCACTGAGTTTCTGTTGTCATAATTATGTGCCTGTTTGAAAGGCGGACTCCTAATTTCACTCCTCCCTCCCAATAACTTCTGTTTCCTGTCAGAAGACAATAGTAGTCTTCATCCCAAACAGGTGAGACTGGGTCCTTTGGAATTCCCTACAGGAGTCCAGCCCCAGGCAGTGTTTCCCACCTGGCCAGCCTCAACAAGCCAGAAAATGTACCCAGGAATATAAAGAAGCAACTGTTAACAGCTCTTCAAGGAAAGTCATTGGCCAGAGTTTCCAAGCTCTGAGGTGCGTTCCTCTCTGGATGCAGGAAGAGCGAGGGCGGCAGGTCTGGCCAAGGTGCCCATGCTTCCTTCCAGCCACTGCGCTCGGCCACTACCTTGTCCCCAGTGAGGTGGGAATTACCACCTTGCAGAGTCTCCCACTGCAAGACACAAACACCTGGTTGCCTGGGCAGCACCTTGCCAGGGTGATGTGATCCAGATGGTCCCCCGAGAGGCAGCTGGGTTGCCATGGAAACAGAACTGCTGCCGCTCCAGCCAAGAGACCCGGATTCTAGATCTGCTGGACCCCAGGCTTGGAGAAGTGAAGCGATTTGCGTAAAGTCACATAGCAAGCAGGGTTCGGAGCCTGTGCTGCAATGCGAGACTTAATCTGAATGATTATGTACAGAGCCCTTCTGAGATGCCGGCTTGTGTTAAGTAGTTTGTGCTGAACACTTCAGGAGATGTGGCCAGGGCAGGGGGGGTCACATGTGGCATTGGAGTGATGGAACTGGGCTGAGCCTCGGTCAGCCTGATCCTGATGCCTAAGCTTAAACCCCTGCCCCATGCCGCCCCTACTCTGGTGTCCAGATCTCGGTTCTGCATGTCCTGAGACCTGTCCTATCCCAGCAGCTAGCTGGCCCTGACTTGAGGGTGGCTGAAAATGTGGAGGCAAGGAGACCTAGGGGCTTACAAGGCCAAGACTCACAATTTTTAAGGTCTGGCCTCTCCTGAGCCCTAGCTCTGCTGTGCACGCTTACCTGGCCAGCTGATGACGGGCAGGAGGGCAGGGTCTGTTGGCCAAGAACTTCCTCCCTGAGTTTGCTTGCCAGATAGGCCCTGGGGACCAGCCAAGGGGTCACTCACAAAGAACCCGATCCCGAGAGAAAAGGCTAGACCAGGGAAGGGTAGAGGGGCAAGTACTTGGAGTTGCGGCAGGGCCCTGGTCCACCCTTCCTCCCTTTCTCTTGCTTCTTTCCTTCGTCTCTTCAGTCTCAACGAACCAAACATCCATCCACTTAGAGCCATCTATCTAATGTCTCTCGCTTTGTTAGAAAAGATTTAGGTGACTTTGGGCAAGTGGATACATCTCTTTGTGCCTCAGGTTTCCAGTCTACAAAATGGGTTGGGTCCTTGTGAGGATCAGTGCGGATCTTCATAACATACCCAGCACAGTGGCTGGCACGAAGCAGACACTCAACAAACAGTACTCTGAAGGTTGCTTTCTCTCTTGAGAGAATTTTGGGAGGGGCTGCTGGGAAAAAAGAGGCTCTCAAACTTCCCCAGCCCAAGGTACAGACCAAGCTCTGCTGGTAGTGCCTGGCCTCCCTCAGCCAGCCCTCTACGCTCCACTCCTGCAGGCAGCCTGCCTTCCCCTCTGGGGCTCAGCCTCCTCTCCCTGGGGGGAAGGAAGACATGCTCTTGACCCCACGTGAACCTCTCCTGGAGCCTCAGGAAGGAACTGTCACCCTACTCACCTCTTACCCCTTCAGAGGTGGGTATGGTTTGCATTTACCTCGGCCCTCTCTCCACACCCAGGTTCTGTATTCTCCAGACACAGCGTCAGGCACAGGCTTTTGCGTTTACCTCCAGGTAGAAGAGGCCTCCTAAGACCATCTGAATGCCACCATGTTGGAATAAAATTGCTAACACGCGGTATACCAGGTCCTGTTCTGAGCACTGTACGGATGGTCGCCCACTTAATGCCTACGACGGAGGCATTATTATCATCAACTGAGGCAACCATGGCATGGAGCAGCCAAGTGACTTCTTCCCAGGTCACAGAGCTGGTGAATGGGAAGGCTGGGTGGGACTCACATCCAGGCAGGTTGCTCTGGAGTCCATGCTTTTAGTCACTACTCCTCCCTGGGAATGGTTTTTGGGAACAATATTTGAAATCGGGGCTGACCGGGACATTTCGATTAAAACAGCTGACAGGTACCGAATGCTGGCTATGTGCTGGGTTCTCTGCCACTCACCATCCGTGGGACTCGGAGTGTTGAATAAGCTCAAAGATAGGAGGGTGCTCAACCTACCGACAAGGACAGATCATATACTTAATACCTCTCCCTGCAAGCTCAACCTACCGACAAGGACAGATCATATACTTAATACCTCTCCCTGCAAGCAATTCAGGTGATCTTGACACGTTCTTGTGAGTCATTAACATGATTTCATTTCAACCTGTTCATAGAGAGTACGGGGCAGCCTGTGGCTTCAGGATCAGATATTCTTGTTTGAGCCACAATTCTGGCTCTTTTGAGCCAAAGGGCCTTGATCAAATTACGCAATCTCCCCCAGCCCCGGTTTCCTCATCTGTAAAATGGGTAGACGTGGGTCTGGGATCATCATGTGGGGTGAGTGGGTTCGCGGCTGCTACACACAGCGAGTGCTCCGGTACCAGGAAGATGCTGACCATGTGCTGGCCATCATCGTGACTGAAAGGGGCTGTAAATCAGATTTTTTTGGCCAATCCAGATGCCCTGCCCTGTAAATCTAAAAAGGCAAGGCAGACAGTCCCGGCACCGGCACCATTGTTAATTCCCACCTGTCTGTCTGTCTAACAGAAGGTATTTATAAGGCTGTGGCTGGCAAAGCTTGCTTCAGAAGTCCCACTACCACCATCACCACCTCGCCTGCTTTCTGCCAAGCTCCCGCTCCATTTCACTCTCACGCCCGCGGATCCCTTGAAATCCCTCCTCTGTTAGTGGGAATGCTAAGCTCCATCTTAAAACTAAAGCTCTGGCTTCCTTAATCCTCTTACCTGGCTCTTTCCTCTGCAGAATTAATTGCTGCCGATGGCTTTATTAACTTCTCGGGCAGCCATGGCATCCTCGGGGCACCCTGGGGCAGCGGGGGTTGTTTTGGCAGGATCCCTGTCCCGAACGTGCCTTTGGGCTGGGGCGGCATGTGGCTGTGGGGTGACAGCCTTGGTGCCTGGAGGGCGGTAACTGTGTTCCTGCATCTCCCAAGAGGCTGTGCCCACCCCTCGGGGGGCACACGCAGAGAAGTAGGGATGCGCTGGCCAGAGCACTGGTCCCACTTCTCCTGCTGAGGCCACCTCCCCCCCCCCCCCGCCCACTTCCTCAGAGCTGCAGTCCCCTCCTCTTTAAATGGGGATAAGCCCGCCCTGAGGATCTCACGGGGCTGGACAAGGGAGGCTGTGTAAAGGGCTGTGTTTGTGTGTAGGATTACTGTCATTTCTCACCCACAGAATGGGAGCATTCATTGATTTCAAATCTCGAGAGCAGAGACTTTGTGTGGTGCATTTATATATGTGTGTAGCCCCCGTGCTTGGCACAGAGTGGGACTGGACAAGATGATAATCATTCCCTGCCCTGAAGATTCCAGTTTACTATTTTTTCTTTCGAGAGGTGTTCTCATGCCCACGACTCCATCATTCATCCTGTAGTCACGAAGGTAGAGAAAAGATGAGAACTCTTTGGACTATGGAAGAAACGGACTTGGGAGGGGCCCAGAGGTTGGGGGGGGGGCGTGCCCAGGCCCCCTGTGGCCTCGGGCAGCAGGACTATCCTCTTCGACAGGAGCACCCTCAGGTGTGGATTAGGACATGTGGCCTCTGCGATGCCTTAGGTGGTCACGGGACCCAATGAGAAAACCACCTACCACGTCAGATCTCTTCCCACTTTTAGGGTGTTGCTATTTCAAGGAAGGGACTCCCAATTTCCTAAACCCCCACCTGTCTTTTTAACTGGCAGAGAGCTGGCCCAGGCTGGAGCTATGGACAGGACACCTGTGGCTCCACCCAGACAAGGGGCAGGGGCTCTATCGTCCTGATTTTGACAGTTAGTTTCTGAATGTGGCTAGGAGGAAGGCCAGTCTGCCAGTTAGGGCGGCATAGGAGATGTAAAGTTTCCTCTTGCCATCTCCTTTTAACTTGACGTCAAAATAAGTGAGCAACCATATGAAGGATGCGACTGTCTTAGGAACAAGACTGGAATATGGCAGGGATGCGGCGGACGGGATGCAAATGACGGAAAGGGGGAAAGTGCCCTGCTGCGGCCTTGTGGGTGCCTCGTCACGCACCCTCTGTTTACTGTGTGCCCCGACTCTGCCGGGCGTCATCGCCACGGTGAGGGCTGGGGGGTGTCCCCTGACCCTGACCCCACGCAGCCCTCCACCAATAATGGCTGCCGGAGGCAGAGTAAATACTTCCTCGTCCTTGCCTCTCGGGCTGAGGGGCGCATTCTCCTGTCTCCCAGAGCTCCCTGGCAGGTGGTCACAGCAGGAACCGTGCTTCACGACACCTTGTCACTGAACTCCTTCCCCTCCCTCTCTTTCCCTGCTTCTCCACCGGTGTTTTCTGGGATTCTCTTCAGTAAACCTTTTGAGCCAGAATGTTCGATTTGCAGTTTGCATCAGGGAGAACCCAAACTCAGACACACATCATTTGGTTGAGGAACCTCAGGCAGCCTTGCCTTCCCCTTGGAGGAGCCTCATCCATCCCTCCCTTCCCCTCCCAGACCCCTGCCCCAGTCATGTGGCCTGAGGGTGTGCCGTCCCAGCTGGGGCTCTGGACTGGGGCCGTGAGGGTCCAGGTAGAAGCAGCCCCCTCCTGAGAGGGCTCCGTACGCTGCCTGTCAGGGTCCTGGCCCCCAACCCCCCACTCCGCCCCCTCCGCCTCCCCGCCCTGCATGAGTCGATGCCCTCAGCCTTCTGCCCCCCTCTCATGCTGGACAGGCCTGTTAAGCAGATCAGCACCAGCTGGGCCTCAGGCAGCTGTGTCCTTGCACACCCAGGCTCGGTCGGGGAGCCAGCAATGAGCTAATCCCGCAGAAGAGAGGGAGACAGGAAGAATAGCCTCCCGACAGACAAGCAGAGGCCTGCCCCCCGGGGCTCCTGGGGAACCAGAGAGGGCTGCGCTGGGAAAACTGCTGAGCCAGCCTGGAGACAAGGGCACTCTCATCTCGCTCCACCCCTGCCAACGCCAGCCAAACGCCAAAGGAACCAACAATGCCCGTCGCTGCTTCTGCTTCCAAACAGAAATCTGTGCTCCCCGCAGAAAACGTGGGAAATCAAGTGTCACCCGCCCCTCCCCACCCCTCCAGACAGATCCATTATTTGTAAGTTGACATTTTGGTATCTTCTTTTCTGTTTTCTGTTTCCCGTGCACCTGGCTGAGGTCACACTGAACTTACCATTTTGTGTTACCCTTCTAAAAATTAATGTTCTATCCACAAGCATTTCCACATAGTAATTCTTGGGAGACCTGGTTTTTAATGACCGTGGAGTGGCCATCGAAATACCCAGATCTCTTTTCCGGGGCATTGGAGCTGTTTCCAAATCTGTCCTCTCCCATTCTTCCATGGCACTGCCCCGCTCCTCACTGTTCACTCGGGACACCCCAGGGACCATCGTGCTACCCCTCCCCCCCCATTCCTTAGCCTGGGAACGCTGTGTCCACAAACTCTGTCACGTGGACTCCTCCCCACTGTTCTCTTTCTCCAAGAGCAGAGTGAGGCCACCCGATCCCAGGCCCCAGCCCTCAGGGAGCTGGGGGAGGGGAGGAGAGCCAGGGGCCACTGGCCCAGGACGACCTACCCCACCTGCTCCCTCAGGGTCACTCGGAAGGGGGACAGCTCCCTGTGCTCCAGATCTGACCATCTGGAGGTCCGATCCCTGCTTCCAGCACCACAAGTCATACGGCCTGGGTCTGTTTCTCCCCTGTCAGAGCCTTCGTTTCCTCCTCTATAAAGTGGACACGCTGATAAGGGCCCCAGTGGCCTCTCCTACGGCAGTGAATCAGCAGGAGGTGAGCGAGCCTTGTGAACAGGTTTCATCCATTAAACAGGGCTGACCATGAGTCGGTTCCCAGGGGCCTGGTGATGAAATCCAGAGCCCTTTCCTGAGCGGGACCTGCCCTGGAGTGCAGGAGGAAGGAAGCCAAATCCCTCCCCCACACCCCAGCTCTGCTGAGCTCAGATGTGGGGGTGGGGCTGGTGTCCAGGAGGAAGTCTGTCCCCAGCCTTGACAAGGCGCCCAGCCAGGCAGCCTGGCATTTCAAGGGCAAGGGCCCGCCTGCCCTGCTGTTTCTGGGGAAGCCGGCAAGCGTTAACAAATCCCCTGCAATTTGCACCCACCAATCCCGCCTGCTCACTGGGCGGCCGCAAGCCATTTTTCACGCAGAGCTGCGCACAGCTTTGTCTTAGAGAGACAGATCTGGCAGGGTGTCCCTGAATGAGGCCATTTGTCCTCCCTGGTGACGGTGATGGGAAGGTGGCTGCGTGCTCTGGGGTGGGCAGAGGCAGAGGGGGGTGGAGACAGGTCTTGGGGGAGGTGTGAAGGTAGAGACAGAAGCAGAGCCTCTAAGAGAGACCAGGAATGTCCCCACCCCCAGAAGGTCTGAGAGCCCCCATTCAGCCAGGTGGGAGCAAGAAGGATTGTTTTCAAAGACAGAGGGAAATAGTTTACGAGCCTCCATCTCCTGCTTAAGAGTCCTGGATACAAGTGGTGAAATGACCTGGCTGGCCTCTGATGCCTGTCCCATCCCAACCCTGTGATGGGGTACGGCGTGCCACGGCTGGGGCCCCCCGGTCGGGGTCTGTGTCTGAGTCCCAGGGCTGCTATACAAGTCGCTACAGAAGGTCTCTAGGGATTGAGAGCTCCAGAGAAGGACCGAGCCCCTCCCGCATGGACCACAGACTGCCAACCTTCCTGATTCTTCACCTTTCAGGCTGGCTGGGGGCCCGGGGCATGTCTCAGTCCCCTTCCCACGAATGTCTCCTCTGGGGGCTGTCAGCGCATCAGAGAAGTGGGACCAAGTGGGTGTTTGTCGACACCCCCTCTGCTTGGGTCTCCACGCCAGGACCCGGGCTCAGGCTGCTGTGTTGGGGTGTGAGGGTGTGCTTAGAACAGAGGTCAGAAACACACATGTCCACAGGGTCCGGTGGGTTTCCAAATTTGGGAAATGCTTTGGGCATAAGACAATGGGGGAAACACAGAACCCATCTGGGGGGTCAGCCACCACCCCGACTGTCGTGGGTTGTGGGCCCAAGGTTCCCATTCAAAGGAAGACAGGCATTTGACTTGATGGTACAATCTCCCCAAGAGCAAATGTTGGCAACTAATAAGCATTTTTAAAAACCACCAAACATCGGAGCTCAGAAGTCTGCGGGCCACGTCCAGCCCACAGGCGGGTGATTGGCAACCGCCCTCTGCTGTCCCTGAGGAAGGCTGGCCTCTTCCTGGGAGTTGTCAGGGGCGGCCTCTTCTGGCCCTCTCCTGAGTTCTCGGGTCTCTTCTCCAAAGCCTTTTGGTCACCTCTCCCAGGACGCCCATACCTGCTGTTCTCTGTGGGTTTCCCCTCTGCCAGCAGCTTAGAGCCTCTCATCTCCCAGACAAGAGCCCAGAGCCATCACCCACCCTCTGCGGGGCGACAGGAGGGGCGTGAGGCCAGGCAGAGGGCGCCGCAGGCAGGGGCAGGTCCCCCTCCATTCTCTGGGCCCTGGCTTCCCCCCCGCCCCCTTCCCTTGGGTTCTGGGGTCAGCTGAGGGGACACAGAGTCATTGAGGCCGGGGACAGCGGCCGAGGCACGCAGAGGGCTCTCGGGGACCTTGAGACATGGCGACCGCCTGCTGCTCGGTGCCGACACAGCCAGCAGGCGTGGGCCCGCTCGGTGCCGCCCGAGGAGGCTGACATTTCCGCGCCGCCTGCCAAGTTGCTGAGGGCTGGCACGCGGCGGCGGGTGGGGGCAGGGGGGCCGCTGCGGCCTCTCGGGGGGCCGAGGGGAGGCACGAGGCAGGTGACCTTCCGCACGGAGGCAGAGGAGGGGCGGGGAGCCCCCCCCCCCCCCGCCCCAGGACCTTCCCCCCCGAGGAGGCCTCGGGCCGTCGTGCCCGCGTGCGCGTGCTCCGGCGTGCGAGCGCACAGGCTAAAGGCTGCACCAGAACAAAGAGCTGGGGGCTGGGTATCTGAGGGGCCCACGTGGAGACGCCTGACTTGGCGGTTTGCTGCAGTGTCTGCTCTGCGCTCACGCTCCGTCTCTGTCTCTCCCACACACACACACACACACACACACACACACACACACGCGCGCGCGCGCGCACACACGCACACGCACCCGCCGTGCGGCGCTGCCCCCGGGCCCCAGCTCCTGCTCCCGAGCCCGGCAACGCCGGCGCGCACAGCCCAGCCCAGCCCAGCCCAGCGCACCGCCATCCCTCCTGACAAAGCAGCGCTCCTCGCGGCATGATCTCATCCCCACCGGCCCTAGGCCGGCCCCAGCTTGGCCTCCTGACAAGAGAGACAGACACGGAGATGGGGCGGGAGGGGGGTGGGAGGGGGGCGGGAGGGGGGAGAGGGGAGGCGCACACAGACAGGCACCCAGCCCCCCTGACTCTCACACACGCGCGCACACAGGCATGTGCCCCCACAGACCCCCCCCCCGCGTTCACCACCACACGTAGGCACACACACACAGACACGCTCACCACCCCACACAGGCACGCAGACACATATCCCCGACACACACACACACACACACACGCTCACTACCACAGACACATACATACACAGACATGCACAGACATACACACATCACATAGGGAGAAAGTCTGAGGGGCACCAGGGAAGGGAGGCAGAGACCCTCAGAAAGAAAGGGGAGGGAGGGACTAGGAGGGTGAAAACCGCGAGAGCAGGTCAGACACAATGGGAGGTTGGACAGAGTCAGGGAGGAGGGCCAGAGGTAGCGTGGGCTGGCTGTCGGAGCTCTATGGACAGAGCATGTTCTAGAACTGCGGCAGCCCGGCTGGAAGAGGCCTGGGCGTGCCTGGCTGTGGCCAGTGTGGCCACCGCACCCACACCTGAGGCCCCAGAGACCCTCAGCGCTGCACCCAGAGGTGGGATTACAACAGGTCACACGTAGCCCCCGGAACCTCAGGGAAATGGAGCAGTGAGAAACAACCTTGCTGGGGCAGAAAAAAGCCTTGGAGAGGTAGGGAGCCATGTCAGGGGGAAAAAGGCAGACAGGAGCAGAGAAGGAGGACTGGAAAGTAATATTTATTTGGCACAGGGGTGCCAGGTGTCGGCGGGGCCCTCGCTTAATCCTCATAGGCATCCTGACAGACAAGGCCACAGCTCTGGGAGGTGGGCAACACGGTGAAGACGGGGGCCAGTGTCGGAGCCGCCCCTGGAACTCGGGGTCACTGCTCAGCTCCCCATGGCTTCCGTCCCTCCCATGGTCCTGCCCCTGCCCCTGGCCGACCCTGCATTCTACCACAGCTTGAAGCCTTCGCCCTCACACTGGTGGCCTGCCTTCCCAGAGGAAGGGCCAAGCAGGGGCATGGCTGGGAACCCGAGTCCTGAGGGCCACATTTCTCGAGGAGGTGGGGGTGAGCTGTGAGAGTGGTTAGTCATGGCTGTCGGTGCCGACAGGGGTTTGCCTCCCAAGAAGGGAATTCGAGTGGTAGCAAAGCTACAGGGACTGCCGGGCCTCCGTGTTCTCAGTTGCAGAATGCGTATATGCTGAGGCCTCGCCTCAGGGGCCTACGGTATATCATACGACTTAGCAGACACAGGGCCTGGGAAAAGGCTCAATACACTGTGAAGAGCTGTGCACAGCCGGGAGTGCAAACAGAGGGCAGAACAAAGCCCTTGTTTCAGGAGAAGCGAGGCTGGAAGATACCACTTAGCAAGGGCAGGGCCACGCTAGAGAGACTTGAACAAAGGAAAGGCCTCTCCCAGATGGAGTAGCCCAGGAGCACAGGGGCCTCCAAAGTCTAGGTCCAGAGTCAGCTGTGGTGGAGTGCAGAGACTGGGCCTGGAGTCAGGAGGCCACGGGTTGAAGTCCCAGCTCTATCACCGACGAGCTGTGGGACAACAGGTAAGTCACAAACCTCTCTGAGCTCCATTTCCTCATCCATAAATACAGACAAAGCTGAGGATTGCAGCAAAGCACAAGAGAGCACCCAGCACGTACCGGCAGGGCCATGAGAGACCCCCGAGGGAAGGGCTGCACAGGGACCTGGGCCTCTCCTCCCCAAGGAGGGAGCAGCTGGGGCTTCTGGGACAGCCCGCTCTCTTGTTTTCCTCCTACCCCTCTGTCCATGCTATCCTTGACTTGGTTTTGCCACTTACACACCCTCTGGGTTTATCCCCTTCTCTCTACTCCACAGGAAGTGGAACCTTCCTGGTCCAGCCACCATCATCCTGATGTCCCCAGCAATCTGCCAACCGGCTCAATCTGTTCTTCCTTGGTAGCCGGAGCCATCTTGGCAAAAGGAGAATTGAGCCATGTTCTCATCACTCTTAGTACAAAAACCACAACCCTTCAAGACAGGCCGCTTGTGTCTAACTGCTGCTGACTCCTGCCTCTGAGCTCTGGAACCACTGCCCTTGTTTTAGTTCTGCCAAAAAGCCGTGCTTCCTTCTACCTCAGGACCTTTCCTCAGGCTGTCCCCTTTACCTGGGAAGAAGCTCTTCCTCTTTTCCTTTACCTATTCAACACTTCTCAATCTTCAGGTCCCAGGGAAGCCTCCCCCCACCCCCGAGTGGTCTCATAGCATCCCTGACTTTTCCTTGATGGAATTTAGCTCAGCTGGAATTTACATACATGCCTATGCACACCCACCCACATACACCTGTGGTTATACGATGTTTTTTCTTTTCTCATAGGCAACGGGTCAGGAAAACCAGAGCCAACCACCTGATTTCATAAATGAGGTTTTATTGGAACTAGCCATACCCACTTGTTTAAATACTGTCTACACTTGCTTTTGTATAGCCCGCAAGGCCGGAGCTCCTTACTGTCCGGCTCTTCACGGAAGTCTGCTGACCTCTGCTCTAAACTGTAAGTTTCCCGAGGTGGGACCACGTCTGTTGCGTTCCTCGTCGGAACCCATACCTGGCCAGGTGCCCGCACAGAGCAGGAGCTTCATAGAGATATGGATATAAATGTTTCTTGGATAAGGAGCAATTTTTACCTTGTCAAAATTGTATTGACTTGAGTTACTATTAAAACTGCAGAGTCCATCAGGAATAGACGTCACTTATGAGATTCCAAGACCATTTTCTGGCAAGCAGTTCAATACAACAGCGATATCCCAGCACAGGCTGGCACGTCAAGGATCTTAGAGTAGCGACTGGCTAACCATAATTTCACACACCCTGTAAAAGACCTATCGTCCGTGTGCACGGTCTGCAAACATACATGGAGAGGAGCACGAACCCGCATCCGAGAGAGGATAGGTTGAGCAGACTTACGAAAATACATCGTGAGAAGTCTTTTAAACGTTTTCGTTAAGGCTGTTTCTATATATACTCCAAAGAACTGATTGACGAATTCAGAGAAAACGTCTGTTTTATTATCATACAAAGGAAATAATGGATTTTTTTTTCTTTTCCAATGAATTGCTCCAACATAAAAAAGGTTAACAACATCTAGACGCTGTGTTTGTCGATGCACACGTGTTTCTAGAACTTACGACGACCCCTGCAGGGTAAGTCTCATTATCATTCCTGCCTTCCCGAGGAGATAAACTGAGGCTCGGAGGCCACACACTCAGCAAGTGACAGGGCTGGGTTGTCTCAGTTCTGTCGGGTGTTAAAGCTTACACAGCACCCCCAACCTTACGCAAGATGCTGAGGATGGTGTGAGATATAAAACTGTATCTTTGGTGTGGTTAAAGCCCTCGCACAGAATGCTGCTAGAACCTTCTGTGGCCTCTGTTTAATATAGGGGCAGGAGGTCCCAAGCAATGACAAAGTTGCAGTGGCTAATACTATGCGGAGCAGGCTCTAGAACCCTGCATGCACACTGACTCACTTTCATTTTGTGTTTTAAGTACAAATGTTCTGAATGAATACGGTGGAGTGTCAGGGTCAAGAATGCTGACTCGAGTATAGGTGTAGGCCTCAGCCCCAGCTCTGGCACTTTCCAGCTGTGTGACCTGAGGAACCTCTCCAGCTTCTCTGAGCCTCAGTTTCCTGCTCTGTAAAATGGGGATGATCCCAGTGCTTATGCCAAGGGGTCATCATGGTGCTGAAATGAGATGGTGCATGTCTCCCTTTAGCCTGTTGGGGTGTGGTGTGCCTTGGGACCCTCACGGGCCCCGACGCACCCCCACAGGTAAGCATACTGCCTGAGAGGAGGGGCGGAGCCTCAGCCATGGGCTGCCCAGCCTGGTGGACAAGCTGCTGGTCCCTGGAGGCTCACGCCACATCTGGACGAACCAAGGCACCCGCTGACAGGGGTGGCATGCAGCCCTGAGTTAGAATCTGGTTATACTCCCACCGCCCAGTGACGTCCGTGGAACCCCCAGCGGTCACCTACCCGCAGACTTCGGAGTGAACTTGTCTCGATTCGCAGCGCACACTGCCAGCAGTCTGTAACCGAGGTCCAGGTCGAACCCTTGCTGTGCTGCCACCCGACTGACCACCTGCGAGCAAGAGGCAGAGGAAGGGCAGAGTGAGTCCCTGCTGGCGCCCGGCTTCCGAGCCCAGAGTGGCACGTGTGTCCGTTTAACAGGTGAGGCAGGTGAGGTGCGCAGGCTAAGGCAGGTCCCCAAGATCAGGCAGAGCTGGGACTCAGATTGTGCCTTGCTCACTCAGCAAGCACTGATGAGCACCTCCTCCGTGCCAGGCCCAGGGATCCTGGCCCCTGCCCTCAGGGGTTTCCGGTTGGCTGGTGGGCCTGACCCCAAAGCCCAGGCCCTACAGCTTTCAAGGACTCGATTCGGCCACATTCCAGAAGGCGGCTGGGGGTACTGTACCACCGTGTTTTGGGTGGCTGCAGGCCAGGCCTCTCTTCCCCCACAGCAGTTCCCCAAACTCCCTTCTGAATCCCGACCCTCGGGAAGTCTCCTGGCACCTCTTCCCATCCCCTCCCTGAGCGCCTGCACCCCCCATCGTGGATGCTCACTGCCCTCACTTCTCTAGGCATTGCCCTCACCCAGCAGCTTTGGTTCAGCCCGAGTCAAGATCTGTGCTCGAGGATAAGCACTGGACACGCTGCTCACGGAGCTTCAGCTTCGACAGACCGCTAAGGCTTTTCCAGATGCACACGCCTATGCTCCCCAGTGCTCCGCTCTGGGCCAGGTGACCTGCAGCCTCTCAGACCCCAGCCCAGAGGCTGCAGGACCCTCATGCTCAGCCTGGGGTCTGTACCCGGCGCCATGCACCTGCTCAGCACGTGGGAGGCTCCCATAAGCATGTTGATGGAAGCTTGCTAATAATGGCTGTGTGTTTGGAGCCCGGAGGTCCCTTCTTTCTCCTTGAGAACCTCCAAAGTACGGGTCGGAAGGGGGACAGGTGAGGGGCTAGAGGGGCTGACAGTCCCTGGGGGCAGTGTGGGATGGGGTGCTCCTGGGGGACCCACGGACGGCTCTGCAGGCTCACACCCATCAGGCTTCATGCCTCCCCCACCCGTTCCCAGGTGTCCTGCCATTGCCAGACCGGCTCCCTCCTGCCCGCCTTCCTCATTAACAGCAGCAAAATTAGGTTTACTTATTAAGAAGGAAGGACCTTGGAAGATGGGAGTCGGTGCAGGCTAAGCAGCTGGGGCGGTCATGGCTGAGTGGGAAAGGAGTGCTCCCAGATGTGGGAGCTCGTTCTTTTGAGAAAGAGAAGACTCCGTCACCGACAGCAAGCCGTTAGAGACCACCTGCCCCGGAGGCAGGTGCTCAGAGGGCCTCCGGCTGCCATGGGTTTTGGCCCAGCCTCTGTAACCACTGGGATAGCTCTTCATTATCTGCTTTATATTTAAGGGTTCGTTACAAGGGGTCTAGGGCTAAAAAGGTTGGGAAAACAGCTAATCTAGGCCAACCCTCTCGTTTAAAAACTATGGATACTTAAGGCCTGGACAAACTGCCCATGGTGAACCAGGGAGGAGCCGGCGGACTCCCCCTTCCCAGGATACCCACAGCCTCTTGGAATGGGGCCCTGTCTCCCTGCACCCCTCCACCTCCTGGGAAGTCCCAGGGCAAGGAGGAAAAAGGACTTCTCAGGTTTGAATGTTTGCTCAGCTTCTCTGCTGCAAACAGAAGTCCCTGACACAGAAGCCTTCTGTTCCCCCCGGGCCTCTTTTCCACAGTCTCTATTTGCCCCTGACTGTGGTTCTTGCCGCACCTCCTGTCCCTACACACACCCCATGATCCAGAGGCTCTGGGCCACCTCTGGGCAGGGCATCCTCACTGTTAGGCTCACCGTCCACTCAGCAAAACCAAGGCCGCTTATTCTCTGTGGCCTGTTGAACATTTCAGGTCTGGAGACAGGCACTCTCTACAGTGGGTCGGGAAGGGTCACTTCAGCTTAGATGTTGACTATGGTGCCCTTTTCTTTGGTGGAACCTTGGAGTGGATGTGAGTGAGCAGTTTGTTTGGACGAGTGCATCAGTGAGGCTGCTGTTTGTGGGAAATGTTGACAAGGGCAAATAGTGTAATGAGAATATGGTCTCCCCGGTAAGAGGGGCCAAGTAAAAGCTTTGTACGCAGCAAAGTGCCAAATTCTGACGATAGCTCCTGGAGGCGGAATTCTTATCTCTGTTTCACAGATGAGGAAACTGAGTGTGAAGAACAACCAAAGGTTTCAAATCTTGTCCACGATAGAGCCAGGATGCAATCCCAGGCAGTCAGCCTGTGGAGCCTGGGCTCTTTCCACGAGAGGCCCTCTTTTTCAGCCCCAAAAGGGTTAAGGCCATAACTGCAGGGAGAACCCTCAGGCCCTGTGTTGAGGGCAGGAAGGCAAAGGTCCCTCTGTTTGGCCAATACTGGCTAATCCTGTTGCTCTGGTTTAAACAACAACAACAAAAACCAACCAAAAAACCAAAAAACAAACTAGCTAAATTGAGCAAGAGAGGCCTGGTGCTGGTATAAGGGCTGTCCTGCAGGCCTGGGAAGGTCAGCTTGTCGCCAAATCCCCTGAGCCCCAGCGTTCAGAAGGGTCACTGGCAACAGCCTCCTTTCACCAAGGCCCAGAGAGGGTAGGGCCTTGCTGAAGGGCAGCACAGCACAGGCGTGGCTAAGCTGGACCCTGAGGCCCTAGGCTCCCAGGCACCCCCTGGCTTCCTCTGGCCCAGCCTGTGGACCCCCAGGAAAGTCCTGTGAGGTGGGTCTGACTGACGGGGCGGGGCGGGGGTGGACTTGGCTGTGTATCCTGTTGTGTTTCAGAGGCCTGCTTCCACCTCGGCGGCGGGGGGCATGGAACCCTTCCTGAAGGTGGGCCAGGGGAAGACCCCTCCTCCCCAAAGGCCTCCGCAGAGGTGCTGCTGCCCTCTGCTGGCTGCCCAGGCCCAGCCAGCTCCGGGAGGCCTGAGACGGGGACCCGGGGTCCCAGAGGGACCTAGGGGTCAGGGAGTCCAGCCCCTTGTGCCACAGAGAGGGAGACTGAAGCCCAGAGATGACAGAGGGCGTGTGCTCAAGGTCCCGCAGCCAGTTACGTTAGTCCCATAAAGAGAGAGTGTCGCCTTGAAAAGTGGTGAGCCTCTTGGCTCCGAAGCAGGACAAGCTGTCTGGGGGAGGCTAGGGAAAGGACTTCTGTTCCTGGCGTGGGGCTGGATTCTGACACCCTCTGAGGGAGTCAGGGGGAACTGGCGGCACGCCAGGCCTGCACTCCAATTCTGCTCCACCGTATCCTGTGCAGCCTAAGGCAGGTTACTTAACCTCTCTGAGCCTCAGGTTTCTCCTCGGTAAAAATGCAAGGACGCCCACTATAGCCAAGGTTGTGTGCTGGGGGGCTCCGACAGCTCCGTGTGTCCCAGTTCTGTCTCACGGTCGTAACACAAGCCCCTCATTTCCCTCCCTGCCCCTCTTCCCCATCTCAGTGCAGGGGTCGGCAGGTGTCTGTGGCTATTGCTGCTGCTGCTCTGGCGTCAGGCACGGGATGGGGTTCCGCCACCTGCTAGCTGTCCTACCTCACCCAGGTGACTCAGCTCTCTGGGCCTCAGTCGGCTCCCCTGTGCAGTGCCCTCCTTGAGAGGATGGGAGCCAGGACTAGGCACACAGCTCAATGAATGCTATTTGTGGACATACCCCGACGGCTGCAGCAGCGAGTTCTCTGAGGCTAAGGGGAGATGGGGAGGGCACTGCTCTCAGCTAGCTGGCGCCTGTTTCCCTCTGCCACCTCCTCTCCTACCGGTCTCCCCTCTCCTGTTCTCTGGCCTCCTTCTTTCTGTTCCTAGAGCGTATCAAGTGTGTTCTACCTTCGGGGAGGAAGGATGACTGAGTCCAGAGAGGCCTGATGTTAAGGGAAGGGCCAGGAAGCGAGCCCCTGGCACGGTTAGGATAAACGTGGTCTGAAGCGGTGACCACGGCTCACACCCCTTGCCCCTTGGGAGGGGCCACAGGGCTCCTGCACTTCTGCATCCTGGGGTCAGAGGGCCTGAAGGGGAGGGTGGGGCGAGGGGGCTGCTGGCTGCTTTCACCCCAGGGCCCAACCCCAGTATGACAAAGATGCGCCCGTTTACTGACTGAGGCGAAGCGGTTTTTAATTTCTGTCCTCCAAGTAAGCCGGATCCAGAGGAATTTGTTCCCAGGGGTCACCCAGGGGATCGTGGCAACCTGGAGTGCCCGGCCTGCCACTGGATGGGGAGGGGTGCGTGCGGGGAGCTCAGCAGCTTTGCCCTGTTTAGGCCCCCTAGGATCTCTGACCTCCCCCATCCTGTCCCTCCCGCAGGACATGGCTGGGGCTGAGGATGTGCAGGGGGACGGGAGGACCAGCAGCGGGGCCCCGGGACGGGAGGACGCCGTCCCCTCGCCGCCTGAGTTGCCTTGTTTGTAAAACAGAAGCGGTGATCCTTCCCCTGCATGCCATGCAGGGTCTTCATAAGGACCGAGGAGCCAGGAAAACGCCTTGGGTACTGAGACTGTCTTCTGTGACTCCCCATTCCCCGCACTTCCCTGCTGCTGGTTCTGTTGAGTTCCAAGGGACAGTCAAACTCCCGTCTCTGCAACTGAGGCAGGTGAACCAAAGGCCCCTTTCTGGCTAGGCAGCAGGCCAGAGAGGTGGGGGTCAAAGCCCACACTGAACAAGTGCGTGCCTTAGGCTGTCGTGTGAGGAGGGGAGGCCCAGGAGAGCTGGCGCTGTGCCTCTGTCCACACAGCTGCCCCTGCCCAGGAAGCCACAGCCTCCCCACTGGCTAGTCAGAGCCTACGGGCTCCTCCCTGGGCTCCCTCCTCCGGGAAGACCTCCAGAATCCTTCCAGCCTATCCTCCAAGGATGCTCCCCTTAGTGCTTCTGTCCTCACCCAGATCATATCCCATCACTCACCTGCTTAAGATCCTTCAAGGCCCTCCATCACCCTTCAAATAATATCCAAGCTCTTCTCCTGCTTCCCTTTTTGACCTTTTCTTGTATCCTTCTCCCTCTTCTGTGCTCCAGCCATCTGAGACTTCCTTCTGTTCCTTGAACAAATCAAGCCTCAGGGCCTTTGCACTAGCAGTGCCCTCTGCCCGGAGCACCCTCCCCTCTCATGGATGACTCCTTCTTGCCATTCAGGTATCGGCTGGGGGTCACCTCCTCAGGAGACTTTTCCCAGCCAGCACTCTACCCCTCTCACAGGGCACTGATGTATGTCCTTATTTACTCTTTTATGAGTTCAGTGACTGCCTCCCTCACTGGAACATACGCTGCTTGAGAGAGGTCCGCTGTGCTTGTGCACTCCTCCAGTGCCCGGCATAAGGCCTCAGTGAATGTCTGTTCAGTGAATAAATGGCAGAGCTGGGGTGGGGCCAGCTACTGGTCACCTCACACCCCATGCCCATCCAGCATGCATGGAGCCATTGTCTGATTCAGCTCTGAATCCCTATATCCCAGGCAGGGCCAGGCTCGGGGCGGGGTGCTGGGGGATTGTGGCAGCCAGTCTGGCCACACCTTGTGCATGGTCCCCCACCTCCTGTTTGACTTATGGCTGCTGGCAGCTGGGATGGGAATGAGGGGGCCTCTAGTAACATCTGTCCCTGCCTGTGGGGCTTAGCCTGAACCAGGATCCCCGCAAAGAGGATTAAGGGAGCTGGTAGAGGGAGGGGAGCCCAGCGGGCTGGAGGATGAGGAGGGCTGGGCGGCGCCTGATTTGGCCTGGTGGCTCCAAGGAAACCAGACAGCATCGGCCTCGGACAAATGGAGGAGCCCTGAGGAGCCGCCCCCCGCCCCGGCTGGCATCCCCACTGGCCAGGAGCATTCCCTCTAGAGGCAGAGGGGTCTCGCCTTGAATCCCACACCCACTTCTAGCTGGCTGTGTGACCTTGGGAAGCCATCATGGCAAGCCTCAGTTTCCTCCTCTATAAAACGGGGACAATGGCAGGGCCGGCTTCATGGAATGTAAGATTCAGTGAGAAGGTCTATGCAGCGGACCACGCTCAGTAGCAGGCACAGAAGGGGTGTTTTATAACGATGACCCATGAGAATGTCACTCTTCCTTTTGTTCCAGCCAGGGCCATGCTGGACCTTTTGCCTCCCTCCCATCTGGAGCTTTTCAGGGAACATGGTGCCCCTGAACTTCACCAAAGATTCCTACCTGGCCAGGCATCTGCCTTGGCTCCTCCTCTCCAAGCCTTGGGGTAGCTGGGCTCTCCAGAAATCTGTTTACCCATGTTCCCTTCAAAGCTGACTCAGGGCTGGGGCGCTTGGGTGGCTTAGTCGGTTGAGCGTCCGACTTCAGTTCAGGTCATGATCTCACGGCTTGTGAGTTCAAGCCCCGCATCGGGCTCTGTGCTGATGGCTCGGAGCCTGGAGCCTGCTTCGGATTCTGTGTCTCCCTCTCTCTCTGCCCCTCCCCTGCTCATGCTCTGTCTCTCTCTCTCTCTCTCTCTCTCTCTCTCTCTCTCTCAAAAATAAATAAACATTCAAAAAAATTAAAAAAAAAAAAAAAAGCTGACTCAGGGCCTTTTGAGAAGCTGCCCTCGCTGGTCCCCAAGGCTCCCTCGAGCTTATGGATGCACGTCATGTGGCTGGGGTCATTCACAAGCAGCAAGCTCCTTCCCCATGGCTGTCAGCCGGTGAGCTCCGAGACTTGGCAAATCATGCCACAAGTTCTGGGCCTGGCATCTGCCCAGCCTGCAACCCAGGCCCTTATCAAGCTGAGTGAATTTCGGCTCTCTGGGTTCTGTGGTCTCTCTGGGCCTTTGCACATGCTGTCCAAGATACCCGCAGGGGTATCTGCAGCTCCTTGCCCCAGTTTTCCACAAACCGCCCCACCTCCCAGGCAGTTCACGCTTCCCTTTTCTGGGCCGCTTCACCTCGTACACAATTCTCTCGACCATCTCTTTCCACACCAGTCTCCCTGCTAAAGAGGGAATCGCGCTTGGCAAAGTCTTACTCTGTGCTTTCGCAGGGCTTCGCAGAGGGGATCATATGTGATAAACGAGGGCTCAATCGATGTTTATTTGGACGGATGGATGTAGTAGGAGCTCATTAAATGCTTAAATGAATGGGTAGAAGAATGGATGACTACAAAAAGAGCTCGATAGACGTTTGCCCAAATGGACGAATGAACCACCGGATAAAAGAATGACTCAGGGCGCCTGGGTGGTTTAGTCGGTTAAGAGTCTGACTCTTGGTTTCAGCTCAGGTCATGATCTCACGGTTTGTGAGTTCGAGCCCTGCATCAGGCTCTGTGTTGATAGTGTGGAGCCCGCTTGGGAGTCTCTCTCCCTCTCTCTCTCTCTCTCTGCCCCTCCTCCTGTGTGTGCACACTCTCTCTCTCCCTCTCTCAAAACAAATAAATAAACTTTTTTTTTTTCTTTTTAAAGAATGGCTAGAAATTCTGCTTTGCTGAGGGTGGAACATTTACCCTCACCAGACCTGGAGCTTCCCCACCCCCTCCAACCCAGCGAGGCACTGTGCTTTCCCATCAGGTGTGGGGAGCCCGTATCACTCTGACAGCCGCGTCTCCCCATCAGACTGGTTTCCCGGAGGCTGTATGTTGGGGGGGGGGTGGTGCACACAGACGGGCTGTGCCCTCCAGCACTGCTGTCTTTCTATCTCTCATCCTCTGTTATCTGCGGCCTCTCCGACAGCTGGACAGGCACACGGGTCCCCAGGCATCCGCCCTGGGTGCAGGTGGGGGAGGGGGTGCAGACTCACCGTCAAACAGCCCATCAGGCTCTGCTCGAAGGGCCGCTGGAAGGCTCGCGGGTCCCCACACCAGTCCAGCAGCTCCGTGGCGGCATTGTGGAAGTTAGCAGGGTTCTGTAAGTGCTGTGGGAGAGGGAAGGAGGCAGCATGAAGCTCCAGGAACAAGGCCAGGAGGGCAACGTGCAGGTCTGGGGTGGCGAAGACCCCAGGCCCCACTGGGGAGGAGTGGCTCTGGGGCGGGCCAGGAATAAGGAACCTTCCCAAACTCCCTCTCTCTCGCTTTCCCTTTGTATCCACCCCACCTCATCCCTGGCAGGATGGGGGTTAGTAGCCCCATTGCAAAGATGGGAAAACCAAGGTCTGGAGAAACACGATAGTACTAAAGTGTTTCCTGGATGCTGGCAGTGGGGGCGGGTGAGCTCTGCAGGGTTCAGGAGGGTAGCCTGTGACCCCCAAGTTGGGGACTGGCTCTCCCTAAGCCAGGGCAGCCTTGCGCTGGAGATTCCTTCTTGGTGAAGCCCACTCCTGCTAACCATCACCACCCAGGTCTGGACGTCCACCAGCTCTGGCTTCAGAGCAAGTGCGGCCATGGCCCACCAAGGGCAGGGGTCAGGTGGATCAGAAAGAGACCCCCAGGCCAAACTCAGCCAGGGAGTCAACTATAAGCACACTGTGCCCAGGCTATTCTCACACTGGGGTCTCGTGTGTGTGACTTAGCTCCCCAAAGCCAGATTTCCCCGGGCCCAGTCTGGCTAGGCTCAGAAGCTGCTGGCATTGTCGGGAGGGGTCCCTGCCTGAGCTCAAGCCCCTCCCGGTCAGCGGGTCTGAGTCAACAGAGCCTGAATTTTGACACCAAGGCCTCTAGATTCTGCTTGGGACCCAGGCCACGGGGCCCACTGGGTGGGTGGTGGGCGCTTCACTCTCTAACCCCCGCCCAGGTCTCCCCAGGCCCCGGGGGGCTGGGCCTTAGCCCAGCAGGTGGGTGACTCGCCCAGGGTCACACAGCAGGTTAGGTGTGGAGCTGGGATCCCAGCGATGGGTGTCACTGACTGTGGGTCCTCCAGAGGGACACCTAGGGCGTATCCACAAGGGTCGGAGGTGAGGCCAGCTGCAAAAGGGTTGGTGGGAACTTCTGAGGCCCCTGTTGCCTTGGTGCTGGGAGACACAGGGAACAGTGGCTTCCCCTGCGGTTGCGGGGGGGGGGGGGACTGCCTTCACCTCCCACTTGCTGCTGACCCAGGGCAGTCCCTCACCTTCCCCAACCTCCCTCCGTCGGCCCTTCTGTAAAAGGGGGATGACAGATCACGGCTTAGCGGCGGGAAACTTTTGTTTCTTTCGCTTAGGGTTTTGTGACTATCGTTACAACGTGGTCTGTGCAAGAAAAATTTAAAAATGGACGGAAGAGAGTGAAATGACTTAGAACAAGGTGCCTCTAGGGGAGAAAAGGGAGAGGGAGCAGCGAAGGAGAGAGAGAGGGCAGGCAAACAGCAGCAGGCCCTCCGTCACGGGGCCGGGGAAGGCTGGACAAGATGAGACTCGTGCGGCCCCTGGCGAGGCGCCTGGCGCGTGGGGTGCTCCCACGCGGGGCTGCCCTTGGCCCTGACTCTGCCTCTCGGAGTCTCCCCGGGAAGCACAGCTGTTCCGTGCAGCTCTCAGCCCTGGCTCACACGGGCTCCTTCTGCACAGGCAGAGCTGGGAGGAACCTCCACATGGAGAAAAGGGCCCTTGGAGAGGGCAGGGGTGGGTCCTCACCTCCGCCTCCTATGCTCTCTCTTTAAACCGTGCCCCCTCCGAGGCCACGGGTGGCCTGGCCGTCTGGGCTCCGAGTGGAAAGCCATGCAAATCGGCTAATTCCCTGCCCAGCAGCCTCTCTCTGCTAACCGAGTTATTCCGTTTATTTATGTGATGTCACACCCAATTAGCAGGGTCAGCAGTCGCCACATGCTGCTCTCAGAGCTGCCCGCCCATAGCACCCTCACCCTGCAGGGCTCTTGGGCTCACAAGTGGCCTCTGAGGCCAGTCCCAGGGGCCCAGTTTTGTTCTGGGCCCTGAGCACGCAGCCGTCCGTATCTTGGCCAGCCCACCTCCAAGCTTCTCTACCTTTGTGCCGGCCAGCTCATGTGGCCTTCAGCTTGGGCTCTGGGTGGTCACTGGTGGGCCTGACTCACTGGGCACAGGGCATCCCGTTCAGTGACTGTTGCTGTGTGGCTCTGTGGCCTTGGCCCAAGACCCCTCCCCTCTCTGCGCTTTTGTTTCCTGTTTCTTCTATGAGGTCACTGGACTGCACAGGAACGGGTGACCTGGGTCAGACTTATTTATCTCAGTCACTGAGCCCCAGACCCCTCATCGGTAAAATGGGGTCACACATTGGTAAAAAGCTGTCACACAGCTTACAGGACTGCTACAAAGTTTAGGAGTGATGTAAATAATGACCTCCCTATTACCAAGTAGGTGCCATTGCTATTGCTCTGAACTTGGTACAGTTTCTTCTCTCCTATGAGCATCTTGAGAGGAGAAATAGGGCCCTGTTCACCTGTGGAACTCTCAAGACTGGCACGAGGCCAGGCCCATGGAGAAATGGTTGGTGAGCAGTTAACTGTCCAAAGGATGGTCCATCTGTGTTGTAGGTCGGCGGCCTGGCCACTTCAGAGCAGGTCCCTAGCGCCATGTGGAGTGGCCAGCCTTTGATGGTCAGTGGATGACAGCACAGATGTGAATCAATGGCAGAGGCCTCCCTGGCTGTGGCTGTTACTGGGTTCTAACAGCTCACCTCCCACCAGAAAGTCCGCCTGTCTCCACAATTCCTCAGAAGATCTGGGCTATATCCACTGGCCACTGAGTCTGCTGGGGCAGGAGCAGGGGACAACAAAGCCTAGACCAAGTTGGATTGACTACCCAGACCACGTGATGAATGCATCTTCTTATCAGTTCATCTGTGAATCAAACAACCTGTCCATCCATCCAAAAATGAATCACTCCACCCATCCATCCATCCATCCATCCATCCATCCATCCATCCATCCATCCCCTTGCCCACTTACCCATTCAACCATTCACTACTATATTCATTTCCCATCTATCATTCATTCACCTACCTATCTATCCATCCAGAATTTTTCCAACCTCCCGTCCATCCATTCATTCATCCATTTATCTATCCATTATCTATATCCACCTGCCTAACTGCCCATCCCTATGTCCATCCATCCACCCACCCACTCATTCCCTTAGCTCTCCTCTCCATCCATCAGTTCACCCCTCCCCTGCTTCCCCTCAGCTTTCGTGGGCCCTGCCCCAGCCTGCGCACCGTGCTAGGCTCTGCTGACTGTGATGAATACGACACGTCCTCTGCCCCCAAGGAACTTAGCCTGGAGGGAGGCCTGACACATGCCCCACAGGGCCTCTAGCTCAAGGGAGAAAGCAGGGTCGGTGGGGTGGCTGGGTGCCCAGGAATCAGTGGGGCTCAGAGATGGAGGGTGTAGACGCTCAGAAGGGCCCACGGGATGGGGGAGGCTGCTGTGCAAGAATTCGCTGATTTGTGTGGCTTTGCACGTGCAGCCCAGATGTGCCTGTGACCTCTGAGTGGGGCACACTGTGGAGAGGGCACTGGTTCTTCCCGTCCCGGGGGCTGAGAGGGAGGGAAAGGCAGCCGAGCCAGCGGCCCGGAGGAAAGAGGGGCAGCGGGCTGCTTGGGGGATGGTGAGTGTGAGCAACGCTAGAACCAGGGTGGGGTGGGGGTGGGGGGTTGCTGTGCTGTAGAAGTGAGGCAGGGCGGGGAGTCCGAGGCTGCAAGGCCCCCTCTGGGAGCCACAGACCCACCCGCCAGAGCCAGGCACAGCCAACACATCTGTCATCCTCAGAGCACGCAGACCTGCTTGCTTTTCTCTTCTGATTAGGCTAGAGGACGTCTGAGAATCAACAGTCTTCAGCCAGACACGCCGCCCTCTGGGGCAGCTGTGGAGCAGACAGACGTTAAGTGCTGAGCCGTGTCTGACCGGAGGTGTGGAGGGGGCTGTGGGAGTGTAGGGAGCTCTGGATGGCCCGCTCGCCCTCGCAAACGTGTCGGGGTCTGGCCCCAGCGCACAGCTCTGCGTGCCCCGTGTGTGCACATGCGCAGGTCGGGCAGGCTGGGGGAGGGCGGCCGAGGAGATCCCTGGCCTTCCGGCTGCCCGGGCATACACTGGCTGGGCATCCATCACGATGCATCATTCTGCAGACCAAGCAGGGTGGAGTGGCTGCTTAAGCAGGGTTAGGTGGCTAGCAAGTGGCGGAGTGGGGGCTCGGCCTCGCTGGCTGGTAAATCTGAGCCCCGTGTGCCATGCTTCAAAGGGGTAAAGGGCACCCTGATCTCTGGGGACGCAGAGCCAGGCACGGGAGAAAGGTCAGGGTGTGAGCAGGTGTCAGAAGGAGCACCGTGCCTGGCGCTAGGAGGGGCTCATGCACCTGACTGTACTGTTGGGGGTGGAGGCCACTGATGGCCCATCCCTCAGGGCTGGGAGAAGTGGGGCCACAGGCTGAGCCGGGAGACAGCCCTGCAGAGCCTCCAGGAGGAGGTAAGAGCAGGGCTGGAGGGAGGGCACCGTCTGGCTTCTATTCTGTGACTGTGAGCAGAGGCGTAATTGGTGTTTGGGGGAGCTGTTTGGGCTGAGTTCAATCTGTAACCAGTCTTCTTCAATTTCCTCTCCTCAGACCCTGCCCGGGCTTCCGAGAGAGAGCTGTGCTCGATGCTTATGAGAAGACACACGCTTTCGTTCCCAAGGACCAGCCTCAGCTCCACCGGGCCCTGGCGCTCAGGGAGGGCAGGTTGGAGGGGGGGTGGGGCCGCGAGCTCTGCCCCCCCCCCCCCCGGGGTCCTGAGGCCAGTGGCCCATGCTGGTGACCTGAGTGTGCTGCTAAGCCACCTAAGCCAGAGGGCTCACCCCAGCGCTTGCTTCCCTGCCCCTGAGACGCTGAGGACAACAGCCCCTGCCACCATGCGACAGCCCGGACCCATGTGACGGGTGGGGAAACTGAGGCTCAGAGGAACAAAGCGACAGGTCTGAGATCAGGGACTGCGGGCACATGGAGGAGTGAGGATTTGGGCCCAGGTCTCTTTGATGTCAAAGCGCTTCCTGGAGGAAAGGAACACTTAAGAGTCTGCACAGGCACTCAGGGCCCCAAGGAGGCTGCGCCCAGAGGGCGGTGCGCCACTCCCGGCCAACACTGGGGGGCGCCCACCAACCCTGGTTCAGCCAGACTTCTTAAAGTGGGGGGGAGGTGGGGGGCTCTGAGCCCACCTGGAATGTGCCCCGACTCTGAACAATCCGGAGAGGAGGCTGGCAGGCAGAGCACCCCCTCAGCGCAGTGTGATCGTCAACAGGACGGGGAGCTGGCTGCCCTCAGGGATGAGGCCTGCCTCACACAAGTGAAGCTGGGCCGTGTGACTTCAGCTGACTCCCTTCTCTTCTCTGTGCCTCAGTTACCTTTCCTGTAAGATGATCAAATTCCCTAAGGGCACTTCCCTGCATCTTCACAGCGGCCCAGGTGGCACAGCAGAGCCCAGAAAAGCATGGCACTGGCCCCAAATCACACAGCTAGGAAGGGGAGGGGAAGGGAGGGGGAGGGGAGGGGGGAGGGGGGAGGGGAGGGGAGGGACAGGACAGGGCGGAGCTGGCAGGTGAGCCCTGCTGTGCGATGCGGGAGTTAGGCTGATCTCTGCCAGGAACGTTCTCACGAGGGGGTCAGGGAGACCCAGGCAGTGAGCCCTTGCCTGCCGTCACCTCCACCCAGCGCCCACGAGGCCCGGCTACGTAGGGCAGGCCAGCACCTCTCTTGCTCTGCTGCCTTGGCGGCCCTGCCCTCGCCAGCTGGGCCAGGCTGGGCAGGGGAGGAGGAGTGAGCCCAGGCCGCACACCCACCTGCTTGATGCACTGTAGTCGGTCATTGGTCTGTTGGATGTGCCTGTCCATAGAATTCATTCTGGCCGTTTCACTGGGTTCTACCCGAGAGCCATGAACGTTGTCCAGCCTGTGAAGACAGAGGAGAGCGGGTGTCACTGGGGTCGTGCCGGGCCCGACAGCCTCACGGCCGCTCTCCAGCCGCAATGCGGACGTGCCGGCCCCAGTGGCTCCCGGCAGGTTCCAGGGCCCTTTCTGAGCTGTGGCAGCCTCTGTCCCAGCCGGCCCTGCACCGGAGGGAGGAACTTCGGCCACAGCTGCCCAGCCCCCGGGGAAGCCCACCTGGGCTGGGAGCAGGAGTTGCTCCTGGGTGATCTCTGGGGATGACTCACGTGAGCACTGCGCAGGCACGGCCACGTGGGACACGACGTGAACTGCACATTCGGCACACACGTTACCACACGCGCGTGCGTGTTAGGGGGTGGTGGGGACGGCGACCCCACCTTCCGATTCCCAGTTCAGGGCTCAGCCTACGTGACGTGGCTCTGTGTGTGCGTGCACACGCGCAGGGGTCTTCCCACATGACCCTCACTGCGTGTGTGGCGTCCTGTCGTGGCACCAGGATCCCCCCCGCAACCCCCCATGCTTCAGAATTCTCCACACTACGGACCACAATTCCATTTCCCCCTTTGCCTTCCTGGGAAAGGAGAAGGGCGGGAATTAGCACCACCCCTCTCTTCAAGACAAGGAAACTGAGGCTCAGAGGGGGAAGGGAGTCACCCATGGTGGCACAGGTGGCCAGTGTCAGAGCCCATACCAGGAACTAGGGCTCCGACTATCAGCTCACGGCTCAGTGGGCAGGGTACATGAATGTCATGGTCACCGGGCTCACTTCCTGAATGGCTGTGGGCCTTGGGAACTTTAACAGGAGTGTGACTTCCTTCCGGGTGGGGAAGCTGAGTAAATGAAGGCAACCCTGTCACTTTCAGAAAGGCCCTGGGGTCCTCAG